GGGGATCCAACCTTTTTCAATGCACGGAATATTAGATTTTACGGGATTTTATTTGGACAAATTGTTAAAACCAGGCCCTCTCGATTTTACTGTTTGACCAAAATTGAGGGTTTACATCGAAGGATGGTCTCGTAACAGAATAGGCCATGTTACGAGGGTAAGGTATCGAGCTCAGAACCGAGGTACCTGTCGAGATCGAGGCTAATAGCGATCGAAGTCAAATGAGACAAACATCAAGTAAGATCGGAGATAGCATATTAACAGAAAGGCAAGATATTTGTGGCTGACCGAGGATCATGGCGTAAATCTCGGTGACTGGTCGAGGATCATGGCGTAAATTTTGGAACGGATCAAACCATAAATGGTTAATTAGCTAATCATAGGGTTTCTTTCTGTAATTAGAATTGTACCATAACTGGAACTCCTCTACTATATAAAGGGGGTTCTAATCATTTGTAGGACACGTTTTGACAAACACAAAAAGCAATATAATTCTCTTTATTGTTCTCACCATTGTTATTCAGCTTGTTATACTTTTATAGTTCTTGCATCGACCAGTTCAAGGGTGTCCAAACTCAAAGGCTGAGTTTCATTCTAACACTGGTTTGCTTTATTTTATTGTTAATTTCTATTACTCATCCTCACATTTGTCAATTGATATTAGGTGAAATCACGTATCCTTAGAACCATATTATAAGTTTAATTGTTATCCAATTTTAAGGGTAAACCATTTGGCGCCCACCGTGGGGCTAAGGATAATAGTGATTGCTTAATACTAATTTCAATAACACACACTGCTTTACACTTTTTCTCATAAGAATCTTTGTTTTCAGGATAAACATGTCAAACTCACAAGCAGCACCTACACACAGTGACAACAACCTTGGATTTCACGAGGAAAACGACAACATAGCCGCCCTAGGAATCGAGGTGCCTCAGGCCGACCTCGAGGGAGCACCAATTGCAAATCATGTCGATGTTAGTTCACATGTCTCCATAAATGCAAATTTGGGCATTGAGCCCAAAGGTAGTATATACAAGGAAGTTCGATCAGGTGGTCGAGGTGCACAGGGCAGAGAAGATGGTGGAGTTAGCCTCCAACTGATATTCAAAATATTTTAGGCTCAACAGGCCACTATAGCACAACTATAAAATCAACACCGAACATCGAGTAAGATCGGACCAAAAGTTGTTCAAAGGATCGAGCATGTGCCGGAAAGGTCGAATGCCAATGAATCGGGGACTGACCCCACAATTATAAAAATATTCGAGGAGCTCACTAAATGGATTAAATTGGGAGAAAAGAAAATCGAGGCAAATGACAAGAAAGTAGAGACATATAACTCCCAGGTTGACCAAATATCAGGGGCGCCGCCGATTTTAAAAGGCATGGATTCAAAGAAATTTGTACAGAAGCCTTTCCCTCCGAGTGCGGCACCGAAACCCATTCCGAAGAAAGTCCGAATGCCAGAAATTCCTAAGTACAACGGGACCACTGACCCTAATGAACATGTCACTTCTTATACATGTGCAATAAAGGGAAATGACTTAGAAGACGATGAGATTGAATCTGTTCTACTGAAGAAATTTGGAGAAACCTTGTCGAAAGGAGAAATGATATGGTACCACAATTTGCCGCCTAATTCCATCGATTCCTTCGCCATGCTTGCAGACTCCTTCATAAAGGCATATGCCGGAGCAATAAAGGTCACAACTAGAAAATCAGACCTCTTCAAGGTGAAACAAAAAGACAACAAAATATTGAGGGAATTCGTATCTCGGTTTCAGATGGAACCGCATGGAACTACCACCGTTCACAAACGATTGGGTTGTCCAGGCCTTCACTCAAGGTTTGAACGAACGAAGTTCGGTGGCATCACGACAGCTAAAGCAGAATTTAATTGAATATCCTGCGGTAACCTGAGCCGATGTACATAATCGGTACCAGTCAAAGATCAGGGTCGAGGATGATCAATTGGGACCCCTTTCGATTCCGCTTATCCAAACAGGCCCGTCGGCAGAACTCAAAGGGATATCGACAGAGAACCCCGGTCGAGCAGAGATCGGTATCTACCATACAACGCAGATTGTAGAAATAGCGGCCCAGGATGCAATCCCATCCAAAATGATCGAAAGAACGATCGAAGACAGAGCTCTCGAGGGCTCATGAGCAAAAGCGGCTTCGATAAACATGCAAATCCCACAGAAGCACCATGATTGTCAGAATACAACTTTAGCGTCGATGCATCAGGTATTGTGTCAGCCATTGGAAGAATCAAAGATACTAGATGACCCAGACCCCTACAAATCGATCCATCCCAAAGGAACCCCAATCAAACATGCAAATACCATGGTATACATGGTCATAAAACCAAAGACTGCAGATAACTAAGGGATGAGGTGGCCCGTCTATTCAACGAGGGTCACCTTCGAGAATTCTTGAGAGACCGAGCTAAAAACCATTTAAGAGGCAGAGACACAAATAGGAAGAACGAGCAGGAAGAACCACAGCACGTGATTCACATGATCATTGGTGGGGTTGATATTCCACAAGGGCCCGTGTTCAAACGAACTAAAGTATCGATCACCAGAGAAAAATAAAATTGGGACTATGTGCCAGAAGGTACTTTATCATTCAATGATGAGGAAGCAGAAGGGATTTCATAACCCCACAATGACGCTTTGGTAATCTCTATCCTTATGAATAAAATTCAGGTTAAACGTGTTTTAATTGATCCAGGAAGTTCGGCCAATATTATTCGATCGAGGGTCGTGGAGCAGCTCGGCCTACAAGATCAGATCGTACCCGCAGCTCGGATTCTCAATGGCTTTAACATGGCAAGCAAAACAACTAAAGGTGAAATTATCC